CTCCGGCTCTGAGGCGACGGCCCCGCGCCGGGCACGGTGGGAGCGGGAGTAAAGGGGTGTGCGGGGAGGGCCGAGCCGCCCCTTTGTCCTCGGTGGCCCCCCGGTCGGCTCCGGTCCGACTCCGGTCAGCCTGGCCCCCAGCGCTCGGCTCGAGGTGTGGAAAGAGCCCGAGAGTCCCAGAAGGTCCGAGAGAAAGTGGGCACCGTGGCGGGGCCAGACGCCGGCGGTCCTGGGAACCGTCCGCTGTCGCCTCGTCTGGGCAACTCGAGGGGCCTGGGGAAGCCAGAACTAGGGGAGCCCTGGGAATGCAGCCCCGGCCATGGGGGTGAGCACCCAGGATCCCTTCGGAATCCAGAACTTGTGGCAGATGGGGAGGACGGGCCAGACTCTTCATGGAGAAGTTCTGCAAGAAGTTGGGTTTAAATGAGAAAGGGAGTGAGACACACACACACACACACGTGTAAAGCACATTGCAGGAAGGGACATCTGCAGAAAGCGACAGCATCTTCCCCTTGGACAATCACCCAGGGGCTGCGGGCGTGGTGCGGAGGGGCCAAGTGGCCTGGATGCAGACGTCCAAGGTCAGGGGTTTCAAGAGCACACAGAACAGAAAAAGTCTCACATATACTCCCGAGTAACTTTTAAATGCAGTGGTCATAAAATCTTGGGTGGAGAAGAGACCGTCGTATCTGATTCAGTGCTCCACAAGTTCTGAAACTCCCCTCACCCCTGATTGACTTGCAGCCTCACATAGCACCTAAGGCAGGGAGCCTGCTGATCTGTGTGGCTGCCCATTCCCTTTCTGATGGTCAGCGTGGTTGAAAAGTGTTTCCTTCTGTTAGGTAGTTAGATGGGTGAGGGCAGGGAGATAGGTGGAGGAGAGGCAGGATGGTCTGGAAGATGGTGTTATGCCCGCATTCAGCGTAAAGCGGCTTTACCTCCTCCAAAGAATACCAGCAAGAAAAGGGGTTAGAACCTGACAGCTGAAACTGCCTGGTAGCTGCAAGGACTTAACTGGACATGACCCCATGCTCATTGTAATACAATTAGTCTTGCGCCCCCCCAACCCCACCCCCGTGGGTTTTTCTGTGTGCATCATGGGTAAGGACATGCGCAAAGGGGACAAACATGACTAAGCATTCCAGAGGCAAGAGCCGTCAGTCAATCAAAAGACCATTGAGTAAGTGAGGGAAGAAGAGACTGGGCATAACAAAGACCACTGGTTTTCCTCCTGTGGATCAACCCGCCTCCCGTTCTGGGAGGTGTACTTTCCCTTTGCTAAATAAATCCTTTAAAATCGTTCCCTTCACAATGCTCCATCTCCTGTCTGAATTCTTACCTTTCAGGTAAGACAAGAACTGAGGTCTTTTCCTTTCCCCTTTCGGGGTAACACTTCCATCTATCCATTGCTTCAACTTCTGAATTTTACACCATGAATCTGATCTAACCTCTTTATGTGAATTCATCAAATATTTTGAAAATATGGCATATTCTCCCTACCCCAGCTTTCCTCTCAGCTAAATATCGCAACCCTCACACCTTTTTAAAGACAGCTCCAAGTTCCCTCCTCAGCCATAATCTAATTTGTCCGTGTTCCTCTTGTAGTATACTCCTCAGAACGTGACTCAGGACTTAAAGTGTTCCAGCAAGCATGCAGAAGGGGTCCTCCCTGTCCAGACATCGTACATTTGCTGATGCAGCCTCGGATGGAGTTTGTTTTCTAGCAGCTGAATCAGTGTTGACTCACACCACACTTAAAAGTCAACTAGATTCCTCAAGATTTTTTTCATGTGGACTGCTGTATAGTCACGGCTGCGTCACCCTGCATTTGAAGCTGGTTTACACTGCGCAAGGTTTGAGCTTTGTTATTTATCTTTATTGGATTCGCTCCTCTCGGAGTTAGTCCATCATCACAGCTTGCTGAGGTGGTTTGGGATGCTGCTGCCATGGCCGTAGTAGTCCTCTCGCTGTCTAAGCCTGCTGTGTGCCTATTTGATCAATTTGTCATATCTGTCTTCAGATAACTGATGAAGCCGTGAAAAGGGAAGTGCTAAGGGCAGACTGGGGTAGGATTTAAGCAGACACTGGGGCCTCTTTGTAGCCATTCCCTATTACAGTGATTCTCCACTTTGATTGCACTTGGAATACCGAAAGGAGATTTCAGAACCACACGTGCCTGAGTGCACCAGAAGAGATTCCGCTTAATTGGTCTGGGGTAAGATGTGCGCCTCAGGATGGTGACAGGCAACCAAGTTGAGACTCTGAGGCATTTCCAGCCCTCCTGGGGCCTAGCATAGGGTGAAGACCGCGACATCAACAGGATCAGAATGTATCATATTAAGTATAGTATGTGTTTTATTTGAAATACAGCAGTAAGCACATACAGACTTTTTTTTTTCTCTCAAAAGTGTTGTCTTCCTCCTCCTGTCATTATTTTAAGTAAATGAAATGCTGGCAAAAAGTGTACTTGAGTGAAAAAAAATCGAGGATCTCAGAAGACAATCCTGCATTAGTGGTTTCAGGGCTTATTTGTCTGATTGTTTATTTGTTTTGGGTCTTGCTTGCTTCCCCCCGAAAGTACTTTCTGCCATCGGTATATTTAGAAGCTTCAGAAGGTTCTTTTTCCTGGTTTGTGAATCCATCACTAGCTTCATACAGGACCAGTTTTACAACAGGTTCTAAGCACTGACTTTTCAAGAAATGTTTCTCAGTGGGTGGAAACTGAGGATAGGGGATTAGGGAGCAGGGCTCCGATTGCCCTCCCCTCAGGCCCCAGCCAGAGTGACACCTTTTGTCTGTTTCATGTATTCGGTTTCTGTTCTACATGGAGGTGGTGTTTGAAGGCACATGGTGATAACAGTATATTCATTCTGTGTTTTCCAGTATCCATTCTGACAATCTTCTGTAGTTCATTTATTTCTGAATTCACCTGTCCTTCCTTCTTGCTTCTTTAATTTTACTCTGTTGCTCTTTTTCAGACGTCTTCATTTGAATGCTTAGATTGTCTTTTGACTTTCTATTTTCTTCTTTTTTCAATTTAAACTTTTTTATTGAGTTATATTCATTTTACAATGTTGTGTCAAATTCCAGTGTAGAGCACGATTTTTCAGTTATACATGAACATATATATATATTCATTGTCACGTTTTCTATTTTCTGATGAACGTATTTAAAAAATATGTTTCCATCTAAATTCTGCTTTTCCTATACATTTGCCACTTTTGGTCTGTTATGCTTTCTTTGTCAAGCAGTTGTAAATTTATCTGAATTTCCATGGAATTTTTTTTCTTTAAATGAAAAGTTATTTTATTTTTTTTTGTTTACAGACTTATGGAATTTTTGTTATTAATTTTTAATTTTATTAATTTAGTGATAAATGATGTTGATTTTAGAAATACATTGAGGCTTTCTTTGTGACTTTGTACATGGTTGATTCCTGGAACTAATTCTCTCTGTGCTTTTAGTTGGATATTAAGTTTGAGTGTATTAATTATAGTATTCAAATTTTGTTTGAAAGTGCCTTGTTGAAATCTCTAGTTATAATTATTGACTGTATTTTCTGTTTCTAACTGTAGTTATTTCAGTTATCTCTTTATATAATTTGTGCTATATTGCTCATCTATGTTCATGATGACTGTATCTTTTTAATCTAACTTTCCCTTTACTGGTGTATAATGTCCATTTTTGTAACTTCTGATGATTTTATTTGAAATTCTATTTCCTCTAATATTAAAGTCTTAGTCTTTGAGAATTGAGACCATGTGTGATCAAGGCTTAAATAAAATGAGACACCTGTGTCAATGTGAATTAGTTGTTCCTTCTAGGAAACTTTAGCCTGGGAAAGATAAGATGGTAAACTAATAATTAAGTCCATGGTTTGCTTCAGAAAATGCCCACAAATCTGTATACCGAAGACAGCACTGACACACAGCCTGCTTGTCAGTAGCAGTTTGCTTGTCAAGGCCCTTGCTCCCCCATGTCACCACTGCACCCTGAACTCTGCCCAGTCCTGCTCAGTTGCCCCCTCTTGCAGACCCACTGTAACCTGCTTGAGTCCAGACCCCAAAGTCCCAATGAGATTCTGCTTCTGACTTAACTCTTCTAAGATGCTGCTTAGAGTCAGTCGAGCTGGGATTCTCCCCTACTGCAGTAAGTTCCATTAATGTAACTCTTTTTATTGAAAGGTTTTCTGATGGTATTTCGGGGGAGTTCAACAACCTGGACATCCTACTGAGATCCTGTGGACACTTCCCTTACTGCTGAAGCCTAAGACTATCAGTTCAGAAACCGGGGACGCCAGGGAGGCCTTCAGTGATGGGGTAAGTCTCACGCTGGATCTGTTCCAATTTCTCTTCATCAGGCTACCAAACGCTAAGTGTACTTTGTCTCCTAAGATTCCCGATGCATTCCCAAGAATGCTTTGATTATTTGGTCCGATTTGAAAACAGCGTATCTCTGGTGGAAAGCTGCCTTGTCACTAGCAGATCTGTTTTTTGTCACTACTCCTTTCATTCTCTTCTGTTGGTTGTTGATTGCAGGAAGCGAGAGACATTCAGATTTCACAATTGCCTCTCTAACTATTCTATGGAAGAGACAAATGACTATAGCAAAGCAGTTACTTGACTTTGTGTTTCCAACCTCTCTCTCCACTATTGGAGGCACTCATGGTACTGGGAGAGTTACCAGAGAACTCTGCAAACCCTTGCTGTTTACTCTGAAATCGTATTGTTCCTATCACTTCTGATCCTCATGAAAAGCAGAGAAAGAAAGTCAATGGTGCATTTAAACTCAAATGAGTGCTCACTGACTCTGGCCATAAAAACATATCACAGGTCTCCCTTTAAGGTTGCATATTCCTCTCCCAATCTGGGGCTCTACCGTGCTTTGGGCAGATGGGGCGAAACTCTTGCAAGGGATTCCTACAATATAATCAGTCTTGCCATCGACAGATCTGAGTTGCATTTGCTTCGTATTCTCCCAAGTGGCCTCTACATGACCTAAGAAACAGAGTCTTTGTTATCTGGAAAATACACCAAAAAAGGAAAAAATGGCCTAGGACCCACAATGGAAAGGAATTTTCAGGTGATTCTGACCACTAGCGCAGCAGTTGAACTCGAGAAAGTAAATACCTAGATTCATGTGTCCCAGCTGAAAGGACATACAGTTTAACCCACTGACAGAAGAACTGTGAGTCCTTTTAGGGGATTTAACATCAGAGATTCTTAAGAATTGTTTAGAGCAGATAGTCTGGGTGGAAAGAGCTTCCACTGAAGAGTTTTGTGTCAAGAGAGCAACCGCGGGACTTGAGCAGCTTCGCCCTAAGTCCTGCAGAACTAGGGTTAGATGACTGCGGCCATGCTCAAATCTGCCTGCCTTTTGTTTTTTTTTTAAAGCTATTTTTCTTTAGCTGTTTTTTCACATGATTGTAGCCTTAAGGCTCTGGGTAGATAACCAACCACTGTTATTTCTTAACCAGTGAAAAGTCAAGGTCTCTAATGTTAATATTTAGTCATCCATTGCTATAACTCGCATGCTAGAAAAATGTGTGCATGATTTGTTAAAAAATAAAACAGTAAAGCTCCGTGTTATGCTCAGATTTCCCTGTGAGTGCTAAACAGCTAGGACCAGTCCTTTGTTAGGAGGTATTTGGTTTTATCCGTAACTGGATTCAACCACGAACTGGCCTTTTATGTAGAGGAGAACACACCAGGGCAGGTAGGCAAAATTAGAAGCTCCTTAGGACCAGAGGTTTCTACCTCCACTGAAATCACCCTCAAGGACCATTTCTCAGAGATAACGTCTGTAAACAAGCTTTCGTGGAGGAAAGGCTCAGAACTCGAACAAGGAACAGATGGTTTGTATTTAAGACCTGTCTCGCATTTACAGATCTTACAAAGGAGGCTTATCATGGAGGTAACTCTCGACTGCCTATCAGATCCACCCTGAGTGACCTTTGGTGAGCCTCTCTCTTCCACATGGGGTTGATGTGAATGCTGTATTAGTTAACTTATGCAAAGAACTTAAAATCATTCTTGGCACACAATAGTCTCTCAGTACATTTTGGAAGGGGCATGAATAATAATTACCAGTTCATATATAATTGCAGTGTTATTAATGCCATGCCTGATATATTAATTTCTTTCTTATATTCATTATATTTTTTCTGTCTTTCCACTCTTGTATTTAAGTGGTTATTCAAATGGATATAAAACTCTTTTAACACGGATGGTCTTTTCCTAAGCACTTTGAAAATGTTATTCTGCTGTGTTTCTCCATCAAATATTGCTACCAAGAAATCTGAGAACAATAATCGTTCATAGCTGTAGCTTACCTACTAATGTGCCTGGCTGTGTTTTTATGGGTTTCATGGATTGTACTGTATTTGGTACTTCCAACAATCTTGTGATGTGGAAATTATGGAAATTATTATAGTCTATATTATATAAATGAGGAAACTGAGCTACGGAGAAGTTAAATATCTTGTCTAATTTTAGAGCTAGACCTAGTGTTGGCCAGATGCCTCCTGCCTCCTAAAGCGTGTTAGTAGGATGCTCTTCCTGCCCAGGTGATCTGCCATTTCTCCTTGAGACACTGGGCTGCTTCCTTTGTCTCTGACATTTGTAAGTTTTACTGTAACATGTCCATGTGATTTATTTATCACCTCTTTGGCACATTTGACATCTTTCCATGTGTATGCATGTTTGTTTATGTGTCCTTGTGTGATATTGCTGTGAAACTGTGGGTCATATGCCTCAAAATAACTTACGCTGTTTTTCTCCTTACATTTTCCTAGAACTTTTTGTATACAGATATGGACATTTGACCTTTATTTTCATATGTGGTTAACTTTTCTTGTACTCATTCCAGCATTTCATCCTTTCCTAATGTGTCCGAGAATTTCTCATCTCATCCCACTGTTTATATCAACGCTTCTCTTCCTTCTCTCTGTGGATATATACACATACAATTTTCCTGCCATGATACACATGTTTTATACTTCACTTTTTTGACACTTTCCTGTGATTACTAAAGGATTATTGAAATTCCACACGTCACCAGTTGGGGTGGTACACCCGACCCTCACGCTCAAGAAAGAATATTGGAAAACTAGTTAATAAGTATGATGTTATGATAGAGAAAATCTTGATTGAGTTTTTAAAACTATATGCTTTACAAATATGAGTGGCATAATCATTATAATTAACAACCTGCTTGTGCCCCATCTTATAACTGATTAGAACAGTTGGTGGTCATGCTGCTGTTTTTGAATATTCAAGTGCTTGTAGAATTGGTTCCAAACTGCTTATTGTGGGGTTCATTTTCTTTCACTGTATCATCACAGTTCACCTTTCCAACTTAATTCTCCATTTCTGTCCTTCTATATGTCCTGTTTGCCAGTGCTGCAAGAGGAATTTTCATTCTCCAGTCACACCAGATAAACTGTTTCACGTCTGGGAGTTTTTCCTGCTATTTTCATAGGAGGAACAGTTCTTCCCAGTCTTGATGTTCATTGAAACAAGGTCATGGACAAATGTTCGTTTCTGATCCATCACAATGAATTCCTTTTCTCCTTTGTCCCACCAGACCACTCTACTATAAATCTTGATTTTCAGTGTGTATTTCATGGTCCACGTGTATTTCATGGTCCACGTGTGTGTTTATCTCCTTGTATGCTGACTTCTTAAGGGTGTTTTCTCAAGGATGAGCTCAGTGCCCGGGATATGATAAACATTTAGTGAATGCTTGTTGCCCTGGTTAACCAGTGCTTGGCTCTTTCTTCTTTTCATGCTCATTCTCTTTCTTCTTTCCTTCTCCTCCTTCCCACCCTTCTGTCCACCCCCGTCTCCAAATCACAGTCTGATAAAAATTGCATTTGCCCCACCTTAGCCCTCGTGTTTAAGTGTAACCAGCTTGAATGTAGGGACTGGATCTCAGTCATCATTATCTTCCTTATACCATTAGGGCAGTAGTTTGTTGAATGTAATTAAGAGTGAACAAGGAATTTGAAACAAAACTTATTTATTTCCTATCTATCTGTTGACTGATTGATTCATTTATTATTATTTTTAAGCATTTTTATTGAGTTGTAGTCATTTTACAATGTTGCGTCAAATTCCAGTGTAAAGCACATACTCATTGTCACATTTTTTTCCCTGTGAGCTACCACAAGATCTTATATCTATTTCCCTGTGCTATACAGTATAGTCTTGTTTATCTATTCTGCATATGCCTGTCAGTATCTACAGGTGGGTGGGAAGGGATAGACTGGGAGTTCAAAATTCGTAGACTCATTTATTATTTTAACAGCTTTTTTGGAGATATAAGTGGCATACAAAAAACTGCACGTATCTAAACTATGGAATTTGCTAAATTTTGACGTATGCACACACCCATGAAGTAATCATCACAATCAGGATTGTGAAGGTATCTATCACCCTCATCCAAGGTTTCTGCATGTCACTCCCTTCTGCTCCCTGGTCTCCAGACAACCACTAATCTGTTCTCTCTTAGATGTGTGCACTTTCTAGAATTACATGTAAATGAAACCATGCAGTATGTCCTCCTTTGGGTCTGACCTCTTTTATTCAGCATGATTATTCTGAAATGCATCCCTGTCATTGAATAGATGTAAAGTTCATTTCTTTTTGTTGCTGACTAGTATCCCATCATAAAGACTGAGACGCCATACTTTGTTTATCCATTCACCTGTTGATAAACATTTGCATTCCTGTTTTTGGCTACTACCAAGTTTATATGAACATTCATATGCAGTTCTTTATATGATAGATGGATGAAAGCTTTCATGAAATGATCATATATATGGTTTTTCGTTTTTAGTTGCTTAGTTTGGTGAATTACATTGATTTTTTTTTAATGTTAAATGAATCTTTTGTTGCTGAAATAACCCCAAGAGATTGTACAGAATTGGATTCTTTCTTTCTCAAATGTTTGGTAGAATTCACCATTGAAGCCATCTGGACCTCAAGGGTTCCTTGTGGTGAGATTTTCAGCTGTAAATTCAATTTCTTTAATAGATGTGTGTCTCTTCAGATGACTGATTTCCTCTTGAGTAAGTTTTGGTAGTTTTTACCTTTCCAGGATCTCTTTAAGTTGTCACACGTTCATTGGCATAAAATGTTTCATACTATCTCCTTCCTTTTTGAATATGTGCAGTCATCAGCAAGGGGCTTGTTCCTGTATTCGCAGCTGGCACCTTCCGTTTCTCTTCCCTGATCAGCCTGGCTAGAAGATAATCAACTTCATTGATCTTTTCAAAGAATCAACCTTTTGTTTCATGGATTTTTCCCTCAGTTTTTGT